ATACTCAACATCCATTGAACGAATACCATCAACAAGAGACTTCTGTGTGAGAGAACAAACCAGCTTCCAGCTGAGGAGGATATTAGGAAAAGACGTTGTAAGTGGATTGGACATACACTATGTAAATCATCAAACTGCATCGTGAGGCAAGCCCTGACTTGGAATCTTGAAAGGAAGGGGTAAAGAGGAGGGCCAAAGAACACATTACGTCAGAAATTGTAAGCAGTTATGAAAAGGATGAATAACAACACGAAAGAACTGGAAAGGATTGCTCAGAACAGGGTTGGATGGAGAATGCTAGTAGGCGGCTTATGCGTATCCACGAGGAGAAACAGGCGTAGATAGGTTAGTACGTAATTTCTTTACAATATTGACAGTCAAAAACTAGAGATTCAGTTCTACTTATTTAGGTGGTTACCACAAACATATATATTGTTTTATTCTTTTTGAATAGATGTAAGTATACTACAGTATGTTTCTGTGATAACTACGATATTAATAGAAGTAGTAGTAGTAGTAGTAGTGTGAATAGTAGTACGATAACTTCAATGGTTTCATAAAATGTGAAAACCATACACTAAATACTTCATATGCAAATCTTCCATCAACGATCACAAACTTCATCATCCCTTCATTACTATTACAACTAATCTCTCTTTACATTCCTATTCTCTTCGATTCGGTCTTCACAATCTTCTGCTACCAGTTGTTTCACTTCCTATTGGGGTTGCATACTACATATCCCTGAATATATAAGTAGCTTACACTACATTATTAGTAGAAGAAGAATAAAGAGTTCATTAATCTTTAAACGTTAATGTAAAAATTCTTTTCCTTCATTTTGAAATTCTATACTAATAGACAACAGTGAAATCTGAACCTTATTACCGAACCTCAGTTGTCTGATGGTTAAGCGCTCGCGCGCGAGACCGATAGGTCCTGAGTTCGAATCTCGCGGGGGACGGGATCGTGGATGCACACTGCTAAGGAGTCCCATACTAAGACGAAACGGACGTCTAGTGCTTGCAGGTCTTCCATGGTGGCCTAGTTTCAATTGACTCATGATCTCAACTGTTGAGAACAATATTGTTTGCTTATATTGATGTTGTCCTGATTTTAATGGTGACGTTCGAAGTTCCACTGTTAGTTGCCATCCAAACTTCATTAGAAATTGTTGCTATGATTAGTGTAGCAGACAAAACACACATTCATACATCAAAGTGTAATTCATTAATTCATTAATTAATCAATGCAGAGTAATTGTTCATGATTATCAGTGTGATTTATATACTAAGTTCATAGTGTTCAATGTATATTATGATGTACAACTAGTTGGTATACTGTTAACTATGTTGATAAAAATGTAGTCTGATTCAATGAAGATTTAATGTGTAATCTGTTTAATGAGATTTCTGTTGTTGTTGTTGTTGTTACACAACATCACTGCATGAGAAATGGACTATGAGTACCGGTTAAATCATATTGAACTATAGAGACTTGTTAGTCTGTAACCGTAACTAGACGTGATAAATCGTTCAGAGATCCTCGGTTCTTATTATAATTACAAGTACATCTTGTTATATCCCGATGAGACTAATGAATGAGGACTTTTGTGAACTATTTCTGGACCGATAGGATACTTGTTTCTGTTTATTGTATGATTGTTAAATTGCCAAACTATCTGCATATCCATGTTCCTGCTTTTAATAGGGCTTATTTTGACTTATGGATGATTATGATCCGATTGACTGTTGTTCATTTATGTCCAGTGTATTCATTACAGTCTCCCACATTCACAACCCATTTTTGTCTAGATCTTGTACAAATGTATATTTTGTATTTTTTGTAGTACGATGTGGTCTGTTTTGTCTGGTGTACATAAATCCAGTATGTTTGAAATACGTGATTGATATGTTGTAGACTGTGATTTGTGTTGTGGATTGAACGAGGAGGTGTAGGCAGGAAGCATGATGGATAATAACTGTAGACTGCTCGTACTTCGTTTGTGCGTCATTGGTCCGATCAATAATTCACTTTTCTTTAATTGTCAGTGTCATTACGTTATGTATCAATAAGCCGTAATTTGTTTGTTTGTAAAGTAGGGAGTTTTTATGACGTGATTTGGCCGTACGTATGCAGTGTGGAACTGTTAGGTATAGAACCTAGTGCGTTTAGATCTTTTCAGGAGTTTATCCCTTCTACAAGTAATTTTCTTTGCCATAGATATCATCTTTCTCACCTTCAGTACAATTGAATTTGAGAACTTCTTACTAGAACTTCAAGAACACTTCTGTTTATCCTAGATTTTTTCCAGCTCAGTGATTATTGTTAGAAAACTACTGTTGATGTTCTACTCCTCTCTACTTACGTAGTAGTGTCACGATCCATAATGCATTTAATACATATGAACTGACTCCTTGTTAAAGTCATCAATCGATTCATTATCTCAAACGCAAAAAACTAACCGTTCACCGCTCTCTGTTATTCATTTAGTATACATACACACATATAAACATATATCGTAATATCATAATTAGTATTACACCAAGTATATTCTTACTAACTTAGATAACTTCAAGATCAAACAAAAAGATGAAGACCAAAGATTACATTACGATGACAAATGAAGACAAACATGAGAAGAATAAACAGCAATTGAATAGAACTAGAAAGGAAGGCCCAGCACAGATTAGATTAGAGAATACTGGTCGGTGGCATATACTCTATTGGGAGTAACAGTTGTAAGTAAGTAAGTAAGTAAGTAAGTAAGTAAGTAAGTAAGTAAGTAAGTAAGTAAGTAAGTAAGTAAGTAAGTAAGTAAGTAAGTAAGTAAGTAAGTAAGTAAGTAAGTAAGTAAGTAAGTAAGTAAGTAAGTAAGTAAGTAAGTAAGTAAGTAAGTAAGTAAGTAAGCAAGTAAGTAAGTAAGTAAGTAAGTAAGTAAGTAAGTAAGTAAGTAAGTAAGTAAGTAAGTAAGTAAGTAAGTAACTCGGCATCTTACATGACGATTGATGTAGATAAGTTAAAAAACACTTATGAAAATGTTTTTAAACATTAAACTATTACAAAAACATTTTCATGAACAAATAAAATTAAAAAAAAGAAAGAAAATAATCCCTAATAGAATAAACCTATCCTCTACACCCCCTTTCATTGATTTCTTCCACCATCCCATCCCATAACAACCCCATCTCACCCCACCCCATCTATTTATTATTTCTTCATTTACTCGTTAACATAAATGATCAAGTTAATTTAATTTAGAAATAAATATATCGATCAGTTCAAAAAAGAGAAATGGTTCCTTGTTCCGAAAATTATTTTTGTTTTCCTTTTTTCTTTTCTCTCTCTTTTTTTTTAACATTATCATTATTATTATCTCTAATCTGGACTATTCTAATGATCTTTTTCTTTATTCTTGTTTTTCTCGCTGATAATAGTTTCTCTTTTTTCCTGTTTTTCGATCATTTTTTTCGAACGTTTCACCTAATTGATTAGTTTTTCTTTCTTTCTTTCTTTCTTGGAAACTTTTCTCTTTTTTCGTGTTGTTGTTTCTGTTCTTGTTGTTGTTGTTGTGGTATGAATTGAAATAAAACTGTTTTCTGTTAATTTTTTTAATGATGGTGCTCATATCAACTAGTATAATAACAACATGGAAAACACTGACTCAATCACATTTGATTGAGAAACAGTTTCCCACCTGGAACAGGTAGGAACTTTCATATATCTGTGTGGTATCATCGAGGAAAAAGAAGAATTGAATGAAGATGTTAAGGTAAGGATTGACAGAGGAAGGACAGCATTCCTACAATTGAAGAACATATGGATTTCAAAACAACTGTCTGTCAATCAATATCAAAGTCACAATCTTCAATACGAATGTCAAGATATTTCTACTATACGGAGCTGAAACTTCAAGAACTAATACAACCATCATCAAGAATGTACAAGTATTTGTAAGCAGTTGCCTACACAAGATACTCAATGTCCATTAGTAGGGTACCATCAACAACAGCCTACTTTGAAAGAGAACAAACCAAATTTCAATTGAAGAGGTAATCAGAAAAAGACATTGGAAGTAAATATAAAAAACACTGCGGAAATTATCAAACTGCATCACGAGGTAAGCGCTAACCCGGAATCCTGAAGGGAAGCGGAAAACAGAAACGTTAAAGAACATATTACGTCGGAAATTGTAAGCAGTTATGAAAAGGATGAATAACAACTGGAAAGAATTGGAAAGGATTTCCCAGGACATAGTTGGATGAAGAATGCTGGTTGGCAGCTTATGCTTCTTGACAAAAGGTAACAAACATAAGTAACATTACATCAAGATGTGTATAAGTGGTTGAACTTCACTGATCACAGGTTCCTAATAAAACTTTGTAAACGCTCTCTTAAAATCAATCACTAGTTGACGCATGTTAATCAACAGTATGGAGTTATGGGATAAGAATCCATGATAAATGGAATGTTAGGATGAGAATTACAGAGGACAGTGAATGATGGTCATAGAATATCGTGGATTGATTTGAAGATGAACTTTTGCACCGCCAGATTCCAGCTTATTAATTCATAGTTGAAGTGTTCAAGCATGAGACTAAAGATTCTTAGTTTGATTTCTGATTTCAAGTTCATAGATATGAACCACTGAAGAGTACCATACTATGACGATAATTCCATTCAATGTTTCCAGGTTTTCAATAGTTGTCTTAGTTATATCAGATTGGCTAGCAGCGGAATCCAGGACGCGCGTTTCGTCCAGTTTGGGACTCGTCAGCCGGATGTACCTGCATCCCAGAGTTGATGTTCACTCTCGAACTCGAACTCAGTACCGTTCGCTTCAAACGCCATCACGTTATCCACTTAGCTACTGAGTCCTATATCAGATTATGATCTCAACTAATTATACTTTACTGAAGTATTCTTATTACATCATCATCACATATAAAATGATAAAATGAGTTTAAAAAGTTTTATAATATTCAATAATTAACTTTTACCTGGAGGTCCAGGTTTACCTTCATAAAATTTCATTTCATTACAATCGACTGAAAGACCACGACAAATATCCCGGAACATATCAATCTTGAAAATTAAAATAAAAGCAAAATGGATACCAATATGTTAGCGAAATTAAAACAAATAATAAACATGAAGTGGTGTTTTGGATTAAGATCATGAATCAGTTGATGATCCGTTAAGAGGAATTGTGGATGAGTACTGTTGAAGAGTTCGACAATATAATGAGACGGCCATCCAGTGCTCCTAGGTTTTCATCATCAACTGATTCATGGTGTCAATCAAAATGGAATACAGTTCGTTTGACAATTGGTAACAATACTGTTAGTAGAGTCGAAGATAAATTCTGAAAGTTTTCATCACGGATCTATCTTAGTTGAACAATAATTTAAAGTAAAAAAGCATTGAACAGTTTCGTAATTCTAGTATGGTACTCTTCAGAAATATGTGACCAAATATCCATCGATGATCAAATCATGAATCTCCGGGTCTTTTAGTGAGCACTTAACTTTTAAACCGATGAACTGTCACCCATCCGCTTCAGTTCAATCTTCCGAAGCTTCTTCTGTCGGGCATTCCACTTCCGATTGGTGTTGTAAACTACTTATATCTGTCAACATAAGTAGCGTGCACCACAAAACCACTATACTGATCACTTGTTATGCTAATATAAATGTGAGTGTATTACACAACATTTTCCTGTTCAGTAACTCAGGTTTTTGCCACAATACCATAAAGGTAAAGCATCTAAACGTAGTATCTCATATTATTGCTTACTCGTTAACGTTGGGGCATTTGTTTACGAGAAAAATTTACATTTAACGAATGAATTTATAGACCTTTTTTACTTCAGGACTTGCGTGTTTGGCTCAAATTACTGTTGCATTTGATGTGTGTTAGAGATGATATCGAACCCCTTCAAGGAGAACTAGAACAAATACGACAGACTACTCTAAATGACCTATTTCTGACTACTACATAACTGTTATAGATCAAATGTGACAGAATCGAGCTGCGTACTGTCTCAGTCATACCCTTTCACAACCATGAAGTTATTTGTGTCACTAACTCGTTCGGTCAATCATTTAGATATACGCTAGACATAAATTTATCCACAGGAGCAGCTGAATTTCTAGATACACATGGATGTGGTGAAACTAAGTAACTTATCCTTTAGATGAGGAACCATCATAGGTTGACTAGGAAACGGTATACAAAAGTCAATTGCATTAAAGTTCCTCTTCATTGCTTTAGTTAGTCTATCTATTATGTTTATTTATGTAATCTGTTTCATTGTTATCACTGATTTATCAACTATTTTGACCTGCTGAATATTTTTATACATTGTCAAATGGCGCTCCTTTCACGATATCGTCTGAAGAACATTCTATATTGCAGTTACATAATCGATTCAATGTTTGACATCGTTGGACTCTATCAGTCATACAAATACACATACATTTTTCATCATAAGTTAATTGATATTCCTTTTTAACCCAATACTCTAAGACTAAATTATAATCAGAGTATAATAATCTACCTATTCCACTAATATTTCGTCATCAACTTAGAATGCTGGTTGGCGGCCTATGCTCCATTGGGAATAAAAGGCGTAAGGAAGTAAAGTTAAACATCATCAACACAATTAAAGTAACTAACTGATCCTCCATGAATTAAATTTAATTGGTAGAAAAAAATGATAATTGTACGAATTCATTTTGTATTGTTTACTTGAATCTTCCTATTGATGTTTAGGACTGTGAATGATCAGTTTGTCGTTGGCATATGTACGTCCTATGAGGATTGCTTTGATATTACCTAAAGTCACAAGCATTATAAACAGAGATGGATAGTGGCTAGCAGGATGTGAGTTTCGTCCCAATTGCTACTCATCAGTCTGTGATGTAAAGCATTATCGACGCAATCTGCACAGAATGTACATATGTCAATAATAGACTGATCGATTACAGTTCGAAACATCAATGGAAAGTTTCAAGCCAACAATACAAAATGAATTCAAACTTCACTTCATTGTACAACCTAATGACTATCAGAGCTCAATAGCTAAGTGGATAATGTGATGACATTTGAAGCAAACGGTAATGAATCCGAGTCTCACAGAGAAGAACATCAACTTTGTGATGCAGTTACATGCATCTGACGAATCTCAAGCGGGACGAAACGTCTGTTTTGGATTCCATCATTCATCTTTAATTATGATATTTGTATGTTTCAATTATTTTTCGTTCTTATGCTTACAAATCTAATTTATTAATGTCTTGAACGATAATCATAATAATAAATAACCATCTATTGAATATCGTTTCTTCCCATCTTACCAACACTCTCTTCAAACAATTCACAAATAAACAAACAAACAATGACCGCAATAAAGCCTTAATATTTCTCTTCAATTATATTGTTTTTTTTTTCTTTCGCCTTGGAAATGATTGTAAGAAATTAAATTAAATTTGACCTAAATTAGGTTGTTGTTGTGGTGGTGGTGATGGCGGTGGTGATGGGGGTGGTTGTTGTTGTGGTTGTTTTTTTTCTTTCTTTAGTTGGTAGACCAACACTTATTCTCAATATTGTTCTTCTCTCTCTTTTTTTTCTTCTTTTTACCCCCTCCTCCTTATCTAACCAGAACCATGAAAAAGAAATAAACAAATTTGATGTGTATAATTAATATGAGAGATAGAGGTCAAGTGGTTTTTCCAATCATTTTTTGTTTGTTGATGATACGTTAATTAGTGTAAAGGGGGAGAGGGGAGGGGAAATTTGAGAAATTTGTAGAATGTTCATTATTTAAATTATGAATTGATCTTGGATTGAATTATCAGTGAAAATCTAGAAACACTGGATCATTATTTATTTAAAGTATGAGACTCCTTAACAGAGCTGGTTCTTGTTCAATCACCACAGTTAAGTAACATCGGGCCCGATCAACAGTTGCATGGGTGACCGGCTGGGAATACCGGGTGTCACTAACTTTTAAAAAAAACTTAAATGCCCTGATATGACTAAGAGTGGAGATAGTCCACTCTTCTCCAGGTGTGGGTGTGTTTTACGAAATTAAGAGGGCGGAAAGCGAATATCCGGAACTTTAAACGGGTTGGTGAATATGAATGATCCACATAGGGGAGTTGGAAAACCCTGATTCTAAACCAATGATGCACATGGGCTTCAGGATTCTGGGGAAATAAATGGCGTATGAACCTTCAGTACATTCTATCGTAATTTAACTTTTAATCGACATATTAGTGAACTAGCCCTTTAAAATGACTCAGTTGTAACGTTTTCTAATATACAACTAGCTGGGTAATTTTACCGGAAGATGTATATACTACTTTTGAGAACCTAGAACTATTGAATCTAACGGAGGCATTCAATCGATCCTTTTGTGTGGAGTTATCAAATTATGCCTTCAGGAGTAGAAATATTCAAAATATGATTATGGCTACTGGATTAAGGAATCACAGTTTCCGTATGACAAAGAAGAACCTGAACTGATCACCTCCTATCGGTTACATCTATTATCAGTAAATAATTTCAAGAATCCGGATATTCTATAACACTTGACAAGGAGAAACAAAATATAGGCTTTACAGTTTCTAATTTTCAAAGAAAAACATACTCTTTACGCTTATTGTCATTTCACCCTCCTCCTTTATCCGGGCTTGGGACCGGCATTAGCCCCTGGAGGGACTCCAGGTGGAGTTTCACAAATTGTACTTTGTATAATAATTATACAATCCTAATTCGACATTATAAGCAGAGATGGTTGGTGGCTATCAATGGATTCTTCCTCTAGCTATCATCTGTCTTCATTTATAATACTTGTGACTTAATGTAGATATTAAGGCAGTTTGTATAAGATGCAAATATGCTAAAAAAGGGTGATCATCAATGGGAAATTCAACACAACCAACACAATCAGAATTTATTTGACTTGGTTTTATTTCATTACATCTCAGGTTGAGTTTTATTGAAAGGCATTTAGTAGGTCAGATTCACTTTAGGATAGCCTTAAAATAATTCAGTCCAATTCGTGTTGGGTATGCGACACTTACCCACCAAAGACAACAAAAGTTGATCGCACAATTTCATGGATATGTTGAAGTTAAACATTTAAACCGTTGAATGCTGGCTCATTGATCTAGAGGTTAAGAATTTACGCGCAAAACCGAGGGTTGTGAGTTCGAGTCCGACGTGCAAGATCGTGGATGCTCACTACAGAGCAGTCCCATACTAAGACGAAATGGCTTTCCAGTGTTTCCACGTTTCTAATAGTGATCTAACGTTGATCGATTCATGATCTCAAACAATCTCCACAACACCATACTAACATACTATTCTTGAATCTATGTATTTATTTATTATTTATCTAAACACATAAATGATGGCATAAGAAGGCACCGAACAGATATGCGCCACTTAAACCATTCGATTTGTGCGAAAGCCCCAGTGCCCAAACCGAAGCAAGGGTTTTTCTTAGGGAGCCAAACCTCGAGTCTTTGACCTAAAGGTCCGATCCACAAGACAGTGGAGCGACGTCTGGAGATTCAGTTCCATGGTAGCCAGTGACCAACATTTGGTTCACATGCCATTTGTTCCTTCAGGGTACTGGAGCCAATGTACACCATTTGTTTGGAATCCGGGTTTTCCAATTGCCCTAGATAAATCCTCCACATCCACCAACCCATTTAAAGTATCGAACATTCGCTTTTTGTCCTATCACTTTCGTAAACAACACCCGTGACGCGAGAATGTAGTGAATGGGACTTCTCTGTCAGTGGTTGTATACACATGGTCATGTGAGAGCATTTGGAGAGAGAGAGGGAGAGCTGACTCTTCCCACTGTCGGCTGTACCAGAGCACCTGAAAGCGAATCCAAGTATATTAATCAATTAATCATGTCAGTTCTCAGATAATACACATATACCGACATAAATGATACTTAATTTCATTAGCAAAAGGTTAAGTGTAATAAATTGAAAATATTCATGACAGTAAATGACAATTTGTGGAAACTTCCATATATGAAATAAGTAATCAATTACATAATCAATTTTGATGGACCACATTATACTAAATACCCTTCTATATTCATCTTGTTCAGTTGACAATTATGTGTAATGGAGTTATTATGAAAGTAACGAATTCATTCATTCGTTCGTTCCTTCGTTCGTTTCTTTGTTCGTTTCTTCTGAACCGTCGAATAGTTCATTTTGAAAAGGGGAGATTATAATTAATGGATGAACCAATCAGATTTAAGATAAAAGGTTTCGGATTTTGGCGCGGAATTCATTTATTCATCCATTTGGTTAAATAGAGTTTTGGCATTATAACTGATGTCATTTCATGATGAAAATTCTAAATCTAATTTCTAATCTAAACCATCGATTATAAATCTTAATTCTTATTCTTCGAACTGTTTCATAATCTCAATAGTTGAAATTATGAGTTAATTGAAGTTAAATCACCATGAAAAATCGGGAAGCACTGGACGACTGTTTCGTTTTAGTATGGAACTCCTCAGCAGTGTGTATCCATAATCCCGTCCCTCGAGAGATTTGAATCTAGGACCTCTCAGTATCGCACGAGAGCGTTTAACCATTAAACCACTGAGTCGATATTTAACAGTGTTAATGTCATAAACCATATTTAGTTTTATTAAATAGATTAACACTCTCCATGTCACTTAAGCATCTCATAAAGGTCGTTTATAAATTATAATCTCACTTATTAGAATTATTTATATCAACAATTGGCTAACTGAACATTTATTAATTTAAACAATTAATATGAATGGAACTTATGTTAAATGAGGGATACTACCCCTAACTCTTGGATCTGAAAAGTCGGAAAAATGAAAATTTCTCAAATGCGATAAAAACGATTTTGATTGTCTAGTTATAGTATTCCGACATCAGACAGTGGGTTTTAAGCGTTATTTAAGCCCTCACGCTTCAGGCTGAGCTATTTCGCTTACTACTCTATATATGTGTTGTATGCAGTATAGGCTAAGCCTTATGGCTATATAGAGCTGAGGGTCTCATATGAGGCTGGAGGTTCTCCATTGTTATTGTGTATGGTTCGGCATTGCTTTAGCAAGCTTTGCTGACTGTTCATGCAAAAAATTGGTTTGCTGGTTAACCGATTTCATTCATAATGGTGGTTGCTCTTCAGTGTTCCCGAGGGTCATTGTCATTGGGACATTGTAAGGCATGTCGCCATTGCTAACATTAACGAGTTTGACTGTCGTGTAAGCGGAATAGGTCAACTTTGGCCTGTTCGTGCTGTGCATAATTGATTCACGCGATGATTGATCGGAATAACTATACATGTGATGTGAATGTGTATATGAATGGTGCGAATGGTTCACCAGGGTGCTTGGTACCTGTGTCGTTGCGTCACAGGATTGAGCTGTACTATTCAGATTGTAGCTTTGAAGCTTATACGGTGTCTGGTTTTCCCTGCTAAACGGGGTTGAGCTGTACTGTTTGAGTTTTTATGTGAAAGTCCGGATGGTGTCTGGTTCTCCTGAAAACCAATGTAAACTTACCCTGGCCCACAAAAGTATATTATGTAATATATAAATATGATAAATGGAATGTTTTGACTGTGTTATGTTTGCCGAATTGAATAGCTTGATTGAGAGGTTACCGTTGTTCTTCTGTTCAAATTCACTAATGATTATATTGAGGAGAAGCCATTGATGTTACTATCGTGAATGACAATGAAAACATAAGGTTCAAAGTATGCAAATACAAAAAACATCCATCTGATTTGTAAGTTTCACTGGCCTTCGAATATTTAACTCAAAGCACATCAAACAAATAATCGCTATTGTATGAATACTGTCGAAGCATACATCCTGGCTATCCTCGTATATAATCATCGACTTAACTTGTGTTAGTGAATGGTACTGCGTTCGAGTCTTGAAGTGAATATCAAATCTGAGATCCAAGTACATCCAGTTGACGAGTCTCAAGTAGGACCAAATGCGTTCCCTAGATTCCACTGCTAGCCACTATCCATCTTTACTTAGAAGGCATCTATTTTGTGGAAGTTTCACTCATTTATTGAACATTGAATATGTGCATTAGACGGTACAATTGACATATTACATAATGTCTTGAAGTAGTTTATAGATTTACACATTTTCTACTAGTGTGATCTAGATCCTGCCAACAGATATATTTCAACTGTGAAAATCAATTCTCATCAAGGCAAATGACTTTTCATAGGAGCTCAAACACTATTCTAACAGATAGTTCTATGTATGGTTTACACTTAATCAAGTAGTTGAAATTATGAGTAAGACTATAATTTATGGACGACCTTTGAGAGATGCTAAAGTAACTTTGAGAATATTCACCTACTTAGTAAAGGTAACTGTGGGTTATAAACATGTAGGAAGAATAAAGATTATGATTTATAATTTATGTTTAGCATTAGATTTTCATCACGGATATCAACTAAAATGCTTAAAACGCTATTGAACCAAATCATTGAATGAATGAATTTTGCGCCGAAGTCCACGACCTATAATCTTGAATTTGACTGGTTCGTCCATAAATTATGGTCTTGCCACTAATTTTCATATTATATAATAGTTGAATTTGTGAGTCGATTAAAGCTAGACCATCATAGAAAATATGGATACACTGGACGTTTAGATGGTGGTTGGAGGTAGTCGATAGGAAACCCTGAACCCGGGTTTCGTGTTACTTGGCACTCGTCAGCAAGGTATACCTTTAATCTTGAGGGAACTGGTGCTCCCCGGAGGATTCGATCCCGTGTCACCCAGCTTCACAGTCAGAGATGTCACCACTGAGCTATCCGGGCCGCGAATGATGTCCTGTAGGACTGAGATGTAATCACAATTGATTGATCACCAGTCTAGGTGACTGGACACCACGTGCACTATATATTGAGATTAGATGATGTTTGGAGGTAGTTGACGGGATAGCATTCGATCTGTACTAACTAAGGACTTGACACATATGACGTTGATCACCACCCAGTGATCAATCAGTTGTGACACTGTACGTTTATTTCATCCTAGTACGAGACTGCTCAACAGTGCTCATCTGCGACGGTACACTCTGGATTCAAACCCAGTGTAGTGGGGACAACAGAATGTTTTTGACACGAAATTACAGAACATGTCACGAAAATCTGGGAACCATATAGTAAATAGTTAATTTGCAAAATATCAATCCATCGTCTTAAACTTCACTGTTCCTTTTTGCAAATATCAGTCCATTGTCTCAGATTTCATTGTTTATGCATTTCCATACCAATTGTATTTCTTTTCCGCTCTTTCCTTATCGATCTTCTACTGAAATACATTCTCCCAGCCTGCCCACCGTTATATACTACTTATATTGGATAGAATTAACCTACACTACACTAGAACCTCCGATTTCACAAACGAATGCTTAATCTCTATCCCATTGACTCATCTAACGCTTCCAGATTTCCACTGATATTCTAACTTTCATCAACTTATGAATTCATTAATCTTCACAAACCATCACCTCACCCCACCCCTCAATTTCGATATTAATTATTGTAACTATATAGAATAAAGTTAATCTACTTTCACTGGTTGATATCATGAGTCAATTGAAGTTAGACCATGATGGAAAACCTAGAAGGACTGGATGGCCGTCTCGTCGTGGTATGGAACTCCTCAGCAGTGTACATCCACGACTCAGCACCCCGCGGGATTCGAACCCAGGACCTACTTAACCACTAGACCACTTGGCTTTATCAAAAAGAATAAAAAATAAAACTCACATTCACTGAAGGCCATAATCTATTACTCTGTATACTTTTCAATAAAAGAGATTTCTTTACTGAATACAGATCATTATTATTATCATTATGATAATAATTCTTCTTATGATCACTATTCATTTCATCATCAGAAATCAATAATAAACTTTGATCTAAATGATCAGTATTATTGATTTGATCAATATATTCCAATTTATTGATTAATTGATTTTCAATGAATTGTATTCTTTGATAAAATTGATAATAATAATGATAATAGAAACTAATTCCTAAACTAATTAATACCACTGTAATGAATAGATTCCATATGAATAATAATTTACTTTGATAGATTAGATGATCTAAATGGATACGATTCTGTTGTATTAATTTAGGATCCATTCGATTTATTATTGATGATGATGATGATGATGATGTCATTAAATTAGGTGTCCGTAATGAACTAGAAACATTATTATTGCTATTATTAGTAGTATTTGTAATAGTAGTAGTATTCTGAGTAGTATTGTTAGTAGTAGTAGTTGTAGTATTTGTACTTAATTGTTTCTTATGAAAATCCATTCGATTATATCCATTCTGCATGGTCTTATGTAAATCTATACATTGATTATTATATTGTAGATCAAGTGAATGATTTGTATAATATGAATTAGATTTTAATGTACAATTATCAATATCAGTATGAGGATGATGATGATGAAGAGGAGGAGGAGGATGATGATGAGGAGGAGGATGATGATGATTTAAGGTTGGTTTGTTTAAATCATTCGATTGAATAGTATACTGTTGAAAAGTTCTATATGGAATAGATTCTATAATGAATTCATTATATTCTGTTGTATTTGGATTACTTTGAATTGAAGTTAACATGAAAAATGAATGATAGTTGTATATCTAGTTGATGTTAATTACAATTTCATTATTATTCTTTCACTAATTCAATTGGATAAATATAAAACAAAGAAAAGGATACTGTTATATCCCACTGAGAATAATGAATGGTAACTGTTGGGATCTATTTCTGGACTGATACTATACGTATATTTTTATTCTATAACTGTTAAGTAACTAAACTATCTGCATATTCATGTTTCTCTTTATGTTGACCCATAGACTATTATTCTACGATTTACCATTCTTGAGTTATGCCCAGACTATTCATTACTACCTACCGTATTCACAGCCACATTTGGCTAAATCTTGTATTAATGTTGTTTTTCTAATTTATGGCACGATGTGGTCTGTTTGGTTTGTATATAAACCCAGTATGTTTGAAATAAATGATTCATATTGCAGAGGCTGAGATTGGTGTTTTGAATTCGAACAGACAGGCAGAGCTAGGCAGGACAAAGGACCGATAAAGACTCTAGACTGCGCGTACAGGTTTGATGTGTCGTTGGTCCGGTCGACAACTCACTGTTCTCTAATTGGTGGTATCACTACGTCACAAGGCCTACAATTTATAACAATTACATAACTCGAAATCTTTATAACAATGAGTTACATATTTTAATAAACAAAGTTTGTGTACAACCACTCTAAGAATACTGCACCTTTATTCTTAGTAGTGAGCGTATAAAGGATAAATTAAGGTTGAAATCAATGCAAAGACAAAATACACTTCGTATCCTTGGAACTGATTGTACCATGACTCATAATTCTAGATGTGATACATTTGGGCTCGACCCTTTGTGGGAAAAGAAACTCAGGTCAAATTTTATCTTTTTCTTCAAAATACTTAATAAACTAGCCCCCAAAATGCCCTGGTATAGCGGAGAGTGGGGAGAGTTAGCTCTCCTACTCCAAATGCTCTCAAGTGATTACGTGCATACAACCACTGACAGCGAAGTCCTACTCACTACATTCTCGCAGCAAATTGAGAGGACGAAAAGCGAATGTTCGGGGCTTTAACCGAGTTGGTGGATATTGAGGACCCACCTAAAAGGAGTTGGAAAACCCTGATTCCAAACCAATGATGTACATGGGATGATGTACAGGATCTTATAGGAACAAATGTAGTATGAACCAGCTGTTGGTGACTGACTACCATCGGTTTGCATCTCGTGACGTTGACTTACTACCTCCTGAGTCAGACCTTTAGGCCAAACACTCTGGGTGTGGCCCCCCAGTACCCCAGCCCTCACACATATCGAATGATTTGTGTGGTGCATATCTATTTGATGCCTCCTTGTACCAATGTTTATGTGTTGAAATAAATGAATAAGTAAATACATCCAATCAAGTAATTTAATATGCAGAAACTTCTTATTACAACATCCGTAGCTCCTTTTCACTAGTGAAACAAACTCATCCTAAACCATCTCTCTATATGAACTACTTAACCTGTAGATTTTCTAGGCTCTGGAATAATCTACCACAATCGATCCGCATAATAAAATCACTCGCATCCTTTGTTCGTTGCATTGATGCATACTGCTCCTCTGAAGATGCATGGAATGTTCTAGCTCATGTTAGTGTATCTTATTCCACAAATGAGATTTCAGGAAATTTAAATGTTTAGCCACTCTTATTAATGAATCCCCTAAGTTAAACCACTTATCAGCTATCACTTTACATTGACACTGTCCCTAGCAACCATAACTAATTTGAGTAATATTCAAAAATGAATAGTAGATCACTGTGTCAATTTTCGTAATGTTTGTGCTTGTTACATGGTTTTTATTCTAGTTTATTAGTAGTTTGACATATTAGCTGCTCATAACCTCAGTGAAGGTTTAGTCAGCCTAATGTGGTTATTTGTAACAATGCTAAATTAAGCAATTGAAATTCACCATCAAATCAACATTAGATCACAATTAGAGGTTTATGTAAAAATGAGTTCTAACATATTTTACACTTGATTCACTTCCTTAATTATGATGGTGGCGAACATGGATGTTGGTAGTTGTTACGAAGCCGCAATCGATCCAACGTGTACATTACAAGACGGAGAGAGCTAAATCAATGTTCTTTGCAATGAGTTTATGAAAATGTTTCAGCAAAAGACCACTAAGATAGGAGAACACTTGGTATTCATTCATGCAACCCAAAGGACATCTAACAAACCTACAGCATTTGGAAATACTGGATGACCGCCTTTTGTGAGGCCGTTCTAATTCGTTGAAACAGAACAGCGGTCAAGTTCGAAAGGATCTGACATTTTACTGTGCCTAATCATTATCTATGAAGTATGTTAATACTTTCAATCATTCTATATATATATACCAGAAAAGAAAAGATAATCTATATCTCATTCTGTTTCTATGTAAAGGTCAGTTAGAAAATTAGATTTATGTTGAACTGAAACATACAACACAATCTAAATTGATGTTTAACCTTGATTTTATTTATATTTTCAGTTCAGAGAAATATAGTTCATTTTGTTAAGAAATGGTTTGAAACATTTCAGTATTAATGTTAAGGAATGTAATTGATGAGTCTTATTTGACCTATATACATCTTGAGTGTACTGAATTGTTGGAAGTGGATAGGACATACATTGAAGAAAGCTCACAACTGCGTCATAAGGCAAGCCCTCATCACTTGAAATCCTCATGACCAAAGGAGAAGAGAAAGATCATAGAATACAATACGCCGATAAATGGAAACAGACATAAGAAGAATGAACAACAGTTGGATAGAACTAGAAAGGAAGGCCGAAGACAGAGTGGGTTAGAGAATACTGGTCGTCGGTCTATACTTCATTGGTTGTATGTAAGTAAGTAAGTAATGAAATCCACGGTTCGTGTTTCGTTTTCGTGTGAATATCAATATCGAAGTGAAGATGCATTCAATGGATGATTATTGGATGAACATCTTGCATTTCACTTATCCATTATCATAATTTGCTTAAGAAGAATATACTTAATAGATAAGAAGGTAAATTGAAGTCTACAAGACAAGTTATTCACCACATGTGGAGAAATTCGAACACTTTACCTCTACCTGAAGTTTGTGTTGATGATGTCGTTCAAGAAGAACAATGAAAGCTCCGCGACCAAACTATCCAGCTCAAAGAACAAAACTCCATCAAAGGGTAAATACTCTGTACATAGTAAACTTTTTATTAAGAGTTCGCAAAATAACTGCATTCAATCGGAGGATATATATATATATATATGAATGTTTAGTAGCTGAATATGGACGTAAAGTATTTTAAAATGACAAAATAGATTTGCAGCTCGAATGAATACCTTCTATGATGTCGCGCACTCCCGAATAAATAGTTTCCATTGTAAAGCTTTCACTGTTATCCTAGACGAAGTACTTAAAATGATCATCTAAGGAGATATTGTTTGATGAGGATCTCAAAAGATCCTTTAATACTGAACCCCACATAGTTGATAAGATGGTACAGTATAGTTGTACAAATAATAATTACATTATTTATGTTTCCAAAGTATTACTTTATATCCAATTGTGACATAACTATCATTACAACAACAGTGATGTCGATCACAGTCATCTTTGTAATTGATATTTTCAAGAGTATTCCTGCTAAAACCACCCTCATCTTTTCCTCTTTAAGTAAATGAAACCTTGTTCAAGCTTGAAAAGGAAATCATTCGTATCATTGAAAATCTGGGACAAAGTTTCAGTTTTCAGATGCTTAAATGAAGAGATAAAAATTTGGCAAATCCTTTGACAGTTCTTCAATTTGTGCATTTAACCATTTTATTTGTACACATAAATATTGGTATAAAAGAGCACCGAATATATATGCGCTACACAATTCACTTGATTTGTGCGTGGGCTATGACACTACCCGGGTGCCCAAACCGAAGCAGGTAGTTTTCTCAGTACACCACACCCAGAGCCTTTGATCTGAAAGTCTAATCCATAAGGCAGTGAAGCAACGTCAGGTGATGCAGTCTCATTGTAGTTGATGACCAACGACTGGTTCATACGCCATTTGTTTCCTTCGGATCCTAGAGTCCATGTACACCATTGGTTTGGAATGAGGGTTTCCAACTGTCCTAGATGGATTCTTCATATCCACCAACCTGGTTAAGAAGAGCTAGACATTCGGTTTTCGTCCTCTCAATTTCGTAAACAACACCCCCTTTGCGAGAAGGCAATGAGTAAGACTTCGTTGTCAGTGGTTGTATGCACGTAGCTATATGAGAGCATATAGAGAGAGAAAGCTGACTCTCTCTATCTTCAGCCGTACTAGGGCGTTTGGGTGCAAATCAATCTATCTTTGCACTTCTTCGACAAGTATATGACATCTGTATTCAATGGAACTTAATATAAAAAAGTTTATATGTTTTTGATACACATTTATGATACGTTACGATACACTTTCAACAAATTGCTCGAACGATCTACTGAAATCATTATAATAAACAAGATCTAATCATCTTGAAAACGTTTTGTCTTTCAATTGATGTTTGTATATGTTAATTAGATTCAACATAATTCAAAGTAGATCAAATCTCAAAGTGAATATCAACTCTATAATACAGGTACATCCAACTAAAATATCCTAAATAGGCTGAAATATAGATCCCAAGTCTTAATGTACTTTACATTCTATTTACTCTATAAACTTGAAAAAGTTTTCAAAAAATCAATATTTTTCTATTTGTGCACAATAAGCACAACTTTCACAATTGATTGATCACTGGGTGGTGATCAATGTCACGTGTGTCAAGTCCTCATTATTAGTGCAGATAAAATGCTATCGACCATGTTGCAATGTGGCCGCCAGTCTAAGTGACTGGACACTGCGTGCACTATATATTGAGATTTAGATGGTGGTTGGAGGTAGTCGACAGGAAACCCTGAACCCGGGTTTCATTTTACATGGCACTCTTCAAGCAAGGTGTACCTGTAATCTTGATGGAACTAGTGCTCCCCGACGGATTCGA